GTAACTAGGCCACACTTGCTCTGATCTGCCCCAAACTCGACATGCCGGATCACAGTCCTGCCCGGAGCAGGTTTGCCCCACACCCCGCCGTGCGCAAAGGCCAACAAGCGTAGGGCGAGGACCCGTCCATCGCCGCTTGCGGCTTTAATTGTTATTGTTTTGGTACACTGAGACTGAATCTGTCAGATCCGACCCCACAATGGAAGCATCTCTGTAAGCACAACCTATCACCTGATCTCAGGCTACAGGGGCGGCAGGTATTTGTCACGATGGGTTCAAAGACACCTTAGACAGAATGCACAGTGTTAGGAGTGTCAACACATCAGTACGTGACCCATCCACACTCCCACATACTCAGAGAAAGTTATGACGCTGGTGTTAGTCATAAATGAGATTGAACCTCTGCAGGAAAACGGTGACATGTCAAAAAGACCAGAGAAACAGACTCAGGAGGTCTTCTGGGCATCACAAAGTCAGATAAGCATTCATAAGCTCATATATTACTATACGGGTTTGTGGGTTGGCTGTGGTTCAGGTGGTTGATTGGATTGTCTGCTAGTCACAAGGTTGGCGGTTCCATCCCCAGCCCCTCCACATGCCAACGTGTTCTTGGACCCCGAAGTTGCTCCCGATGGAGCATGGTGTGTGAATGGGAAACATTTTAAAGTGCTTTAGGTACCACTACGGTAGAAAAGTGCTGCATAAGTGCAGGCTGTTCATCCTCTACCAGGAAAAAAAAGACAGCAAAAATCCAAGTAAAGAGGAAGCTGCAGAAGTCTCAGATGAAGAGGAAGAAAATAGCAAGTCTTTGTTTGATGAGGAAGATTCAGAAGAACCGCAACCAGAGCGAAAACTGGCTGTTAACCATCCTATCAATCTGTTACCACTGGATTTGTAACCAGAAACATGTCACCCATGTCTGATCTACCAACTACAAGGAGGAACCCAGAAGTGATTCCAGAGGACGACAGGAAGAAGAGATGGAGGTTGAAAAGATGAGAAGACAAACAAATGGTTTACTTCATCAGTAAGTGATTATAGACATATATGAATAACTGGGTTGCACGGTGTCTCAGTGGTTAGCACCGTCGCCTCGCAGCTAGAAGGTCGCCAGTTTGCGATCCGGTGAGGACATCCGGGATCTTTCTGCATGTTCTCCCCGTGCAGCGTGGGTTCTCTCCGGGTTCTCCGGCTTCCTCCCACAGTCCAGAAACATGCTGAGGTTAATTGGTGATTGTAAATTGTCCGTAGGTGTGAATGTGAGTGTGCTTGGTTGTCTGTCTCTAAGTGTAGCCCTGTGATAAACTGGTTACCTGTCCAGGTGAACCTGCCTTCACCCTGAGTCAGCTGGGATAGACTCCAGCCCCCCACGACCCTAGTGAGGATTAAGCGGTGTATAGATGATGGATGGATGGGATGTTTGATGTGTGATTGACTTCCTGCTGTTACAGAAGATGTTTTATTTTGTTGATACTCACACTGAAGTCAGCATCCTCGGCCCTCAGGTGGTCTGCGATGTAGTGCACCCCTTCCAGCGCACGTATCACACTGGGCGACAGCAGGAATGTGGACTGCGACACTGTATTGTCAACTTTAGCCGTCCGCTGAGTGGAATTAGCTCTGGCTCCGGTTAACTGTCTGGTCATCCCTGTGGTCCCGTCCTGTCGGTTCTGGCTGTTCTGAGGAGTTTTCTGCTGAGGCGGAGGAGTCGACCCCGGAGGTCTGGGCGACGGCGGGCGGAAGGAGAAGTAGGACGTCAGCGTTCCCAGCTCCAAGTCCTCGTAGCAGCTTCTCTCGGGGTCGTCCAGCGTGGTCCCGTCTCTCAACCAGGTCGCCGAGGTGCTGAGGCAGTTGCCAGACTTGTAGCCGACGAGCCGGGCGTGCCGCCGCTCCGCCGCTGCCTCCTGCTGGAGCAGCAACAGCCTGCGACGGCGGCCATCTGGCGCGGGCCGTCGCATGAACAGCCAGCGTGGGATCAAGTCCAGGAACACAGAGTGGACCCAGCGGGGCATCTTGTGAGTGCTGGGAGAGCGGTGGTGCACGTTGAGCACGAACACGGTGATGACGATGGACAGAGTGACAAAGATCATGGTGAAGAGGAGATACTCGCCGATGAGCGGGATGACGAGCGACGTGGAGGGTATGATCTCGGTGATGAGCAGGAGGAAGACGGTGAGCGACAGCAGCACGGAGATGCACAGGGTGATCTTCTCGCCGCAGTCTGAGGGCAGGTAGAAAACCAGAACGGTGAGGCAGGAGATGAGCAGACAGGGGATGATGAGGTTGATGGTGTAGAACAGGGGGAGCCTGCGGATGATGAAGAAGTAGGTGATGTCCGGGTAGATCTCGTGGCAGCAGTCGTACTTCTTGGTGTTGTACGTTCCCACGGCGTTGATGATGGCCCACTCCCCGCTCTCCCAGTAGTTGTTGAGGTCCACCGTGTTCTCGATGCGCTCCAGGTCGATCTTGGCCTTGTCGTAGGTCCAGGAGCCAAATTTCATCTTACAGTTCTGTTGATCGAAGGGGAAGAAGGTGACGTCGATGCTGCAGGAGCTCTTGTAGATGGCGGGCGGGACCCAGCGGATTTTGCCCGTGTAGAAGAGGTGAGCTTTGGTCATGTGGGTCACGGCGAATTCACCGTCAGCGCTGCAGAAGAAGAAGAAGAGTGATGGAGACATATACGATATAAGACCTCAGCTTTAACGAGTGTCTTTAAAGGCAAATAAGCAATCACACCCTGAATAGAGGAAGGTTTTACTCCACCTTTAGCTGAGGAAGATTTTCATTTCGGAAACCATGAAGTGAAAAAGTGTTTCCTAATAATAACCACTGATGGATATCTCATTTCTCTTTATCACGTTAGCAGCGATAATAGCTTCTGCAGGAGATGAGTCCTTATCATCTCATCGGCCTCACCTCTTTTTAATTCAGCTTACCGATTGTGATTACACGGCGTCGACGGAGCAGAACTCAATCATCAACCTGCTCCGTTTAATCTCCGTTAAGGCGACTGAGTGAAGGGAGAGGTTTCTATTAAACTGTGGATTTTTATAATTGATTTCATGCTGAAGCGCTGCACGTGTGAAGGTCGTCTTCGTTTTGACATAAATAAACGACACCCACAGTGCAAATAAAGCTAAAGGAGGTGTTTCACAGAGCCTGCAGTCTGACTCAGGACTTTAAATGTAGTTTAAGTTGGTGTAAAAAACACCAGTACAAAGGAGCAGACTGTGTATTCTGATCGTCCACTAGATGGCACCACCTTCATATGCTTCACCATCCAGTCAGCAGGCCTCAGTTTGAACACATCTATCAGAGAATAATGAGTCCAGCTGTTGAACAGTTGTAGATATTTGTGTCTAGATCTGTCATAAGAGTCCACTGTAGTGCTTATCCACAGGTTTTAGGAAAGTCCTTATAGTTTATACCAACACTGCAGCACAGCAGACGTGCATGTAGGTTACCTGTTACCTCACATAACCTGCAGTCTTTGCTTCAACTCTTTGTTTTGTTGGTCTGGATGTGTCAGCATTTAAATCAGTAAAACACCTTTAAATGAACACATTCACTGACCTGAAGGCTGCTGAGGTCGGAAGTCAAACAACACATTATATTAAGACGCTGCATTTATCACACGTGGGAGGAAAAGTTCCTAAAAGTAACCTCTCTGTTCGTTCACTAACTCTAAATGTGTTCAGTTTTTTAATTTACACCACAGCTGAATGAATACAGACAGAATTTCTAGTCGTGGTGCCTGAAAGTTTTGCTGCAGCAGCATTTTAAACGATCTCATCACTTGAATAATACATTCGTCTGATCTTGTTCTTTCTGCAGAAACAGATTGTGAAAGTTTTGGACTGTTTGGGGGGAAACTCGTGGAGTAGTTTATGTGACTTATTTGTTTTTGAATGTCAGGATGTGGCTGCTCTGGGGGGCTGCATGCATTTCTTTTAGCAGGATAAGCGGAGAGGATAATTGGCTCGCCAGACGATGGTGTTGTGTGACTTCAGTGACATGTCAGAAGGGTTTATTCTAATTTACATTCAAAGTTTTCAGGATAGAAAATCCCACTTTTCCTATTTCAGCACAGAGAGACCTTGTGTACAGTGAGCAGAACAAAGCTGATGCTGTCTGACATGCAGAGACAGAGATCTTAAGATGTATTCAGGCGAGCAAGATCACAAATAAATAAGAATAAAAAAAAAAAAAATTGTAACCTAAATTTAAAGAAAAAAAAAGGCTAAAACAAAAGTTAGTTTAATCTTTAATAATTGACCACAGCTGTATTTAAATCAGCAAAAATTATTATTATTATTACATTGAAGATATCTGACATTATACAGAAGCAAAAATTATGTATATTAAGGACTAAATAATGGTAGATAGTTTTTTTAACTGTATTTTTTACAAATTTGTTTATTTGCAAGATTTGTCTATAAAAATAGTCATTTTAATAAATTTAATGCCAAATATATTTATTTTATTGATATGTGCGATGATATTTTCACTGTTTTGATAGTTTATGGCTGGTATAGTATCCTATTGCTTTGTTTTGTTTGTTTGTTTGTTTGTTTTTTATTCTGGTAATCCTGCTGCTAGATTTTTTACACATATTTTTACAGGATTGTTATATTTTTTTCAATTTTTTTGTAAAAGAAAATCGAATAATTCCTGCGCTAGAGGTAGAAAAAATATCATTCTACATTTTTTATTATTTTATTTATTTTGCTCTTTACAGGGTTGAAATAAATGTATTATCTCAGTGAAGGCTTAATGGAGACGATTAAACTGTGAATATTTACCGGTTGTATGATGCTGTTTGGGCAAATCCAACAGGTCAGCTTGAACTCAGTGATTAATTAGTTAGTCAAGAGAATAACGGGCAGAATAAATTCCTCGTTCCTTTTGTTACTGGTGTGTTACCTTCATCTCACTCTTACTTGTTATAGAGGACGATGTCTGGGACCCAGATGAGCTCCGACGGCACTCTGATGGACGTCACGTTGTCGTAGTCAGACGGTCTCCAGCGAAGCTTGTAGTCGTTCCACTCCTGAGAGACGCAAACAACACAGATGATTTCTGGGAGCTCTGATCATTTATTCATTCATCACACAAAGTGAAAAACTTCCAATGAGGTTGCTTTTTGTGTATTCTAAACATCTCAGTCCCCTCTCGTAAAGACGACTCTTAATAATAAATCAATCCTGACACAAACGCTTCTAACCTGTTTAAGCCACACGTTGGTTGTCATCATCTGGTTCTTCTCATCCTGTCAGGCAGAGAGAGGCAGAGACGGTGATGGAGAGAGAGTTAAAGCTGTCAGCTGTGGATTCAGGACGGAGGAATATGTGTGTGAGACTCTGTTGGAGGTTTGTCAAAGCGAACCCAGATATAGCTTTCAGCAACTTTACTTCAATAACTTGGTGAATGTGGAGTTTTCTGCAGCACTTCTTGCAGTGACGCGGCAGAGGGGAGATATTTTAGATTTAGAAAGATTGTTGTTGCTGCTGCTGTCTGTAAAGATGCACCAAAAAAAACTCAATGACCTTGAAACTTGTGAGTTTGATCACTAAAAATCCACAACAGTTAAAATAAACAAACAAAGCAGACAAAAACAACCCTCATGTCTGCTACTAAAACATTCAGCATGTGAAATATTGAGAATCAAAGCTTTGATTTAGTTTAAATCAGCCCTCAAACATCAGACATCAGCTTCTAACGAAGACCCACCACGTCGATGAGCTGCGCTATGGACAGCCCAAACTTGACAATGACCACGTCGGAGATGTTCGGCACGGGTCTGGACCACTTGTTGTAACCCGCAAACAGCGTCTTGAAGAGCTCGTCCTCGGCGTGGGAGTGGGTCTTCTCATGACAAAGAACTGTGGAGAAAATTACTGCTTTTAATCTCAACAGTAACATTAGAGACATGGCAGACAGACTCAGTAAGTGGGGTAACTGGATGTATAAATTGGTCACATTTATATTCACGATCTTTTTTCTTAAATGATTAAATATGCAGTTATTAAACTCATTACACATTTATCGAAACCATCTCTCAGGATCTGCAATATGGAATTTTTTAACATTTAAATGAGCTCGTATGACACCGGCGACACCAAACTGGCTGGTGTTCATTTGGAGTGTTTTAAGCTTTTAATATTTGGCTGTAAATGACAGAAACAGACGTGAATCAGTGACGTCTGCGTCATCGGTAACAGAAAATAAAGTTATTCAATTAAAACATCAGCACCGGCTCAGAATAAGGTTTAAAAGAAGGTTAAAGGTTCGTTTGAAAATGT